TCTCTCTCTCTCTCTCTCTCTCTCTCTCTCTCTCTCTCTCTCTCTCTCTCTCTCTCTCTGTGCTGGCCGCGGCCGCATTACAGCGAGTCGTCGTGGTAGTTGCGAAGCCGAGTTGGTCCGCTTTCAACGCGACATCCTCATTGTCGTCATCGCGTTGAAGAGAAACAGGGAGAAAGCCCTTTCCTCTTCCTGCGCTCGCGCGCGAGTTTAAATGGCGTGACGCGAAGAATCAGCATCGGCCGTCAACCCCGATGCGATGAAACATGTCCGATGCGCGCCAAATGTTCCGTCTCTTATACAACGCACGAGTGTCAACCTTCTCATTACTGCGGTGTCCACCGGGAGAGAGGCGTATATTGCACGCGACGCGAGACGCAAATGCACTCAAATGCACCTATGCGACAACGAAGTTTAACCCTTTAAATTCCCAATTAATTCTATTCGCAAGGAAATGTTTTTCCCCATTCATTATTGTTCCTAGTAATGTAGAGATGAGGTCTGATTTTTTGTTATAATTTCCTAATTAATTACATCTTGGAGAAATAGAAATGTTGTCTCAAAGAACAATTGTTTAATATGCCGCATTACTCTGTCAGCGCAAACTATATCAGCATAATAATAACTTTCCGTTTTTCATACGTCGCAGTAATGCATGAGAATAAATAAATATTTGTATACGGCTCACTTTGATATGATAAACATAAATGCAATATCAATAAATTGCATTTATTTGGTCAGGAGAGACGATAAATGCTGAGAATTCACTGGTTTTAATTGCTACAACTGATGATTAGATAAAAAGCCTGAAGTCATGAGAGACAGTATTGTCAAAAACGTTCGACAGTGGTGGAGAAAAGTATCGATTACTATAACGTCTATAACGACCTAACGTTGCCTCAAGATAACAACGGGCGACAAAGGGTTAAGCGACCAGCACGCGCGTACAAGCGAGCTGTTGAGCGAACTGTTTTCGGTTATTGCAGCAACAGATAAGTAGTTCTTAGCACACGGCGGTATCTCTCGGTTACAACGGTCGAGTATAGTCGTTCCGAGCACGTGCATTAGCGGGTGCTTAACGGTAGGCGAAATTAGTCGCTGTTACATCAGCGCCGAGCGAACATTCAGCGAAGATTGTACTTTCGATTAATTTGTGCATCCATGCGGCGAAGCACTTCAGTGCGTTATTGCAGTGGTTGGTTTTAATAGTGGCATTCGATAACATTCGGTAGAGACATGTGAATCATCAAGGAATGGCTTTGAGCAGGGTGGCCAGGTCTGGCGCAATTCCGCCAAGTGACTCTTCGACATGCTCAAGTAGTGCACGTGATAGTTTTATTTGGACGCTTGACGACCACTTTTTTCAACATGCTGCGATTGCATGTCAAAATAAAAATTTGGTGCGCCACCTCAACATATCAAAGAGCCACTCTGGCGGAATTGCGCCACTTTAGTTTCAAAGGCTACTTTAGTTCCAAGGCAGGTATTACCGACAGGTCTCTCTAAATCCGATACAACGGTAAGCGAATGTTTTTCTCGTCAGGTGTTCTTGGTGGAGAAAGAAAAGAAACTTAACGTGGAACACACATCGCGAATGCAATTCGTTCATTCGCAATTGTCACAAAGGGAGAAAGAACCGGACGGTGCGAGTTAAAACAGACGAGGCAGAGCCTCGGTAAATTTTATTCTTCTTGGATAATCATCTCACTCGCGCCGGACAGAGTTTCGTTTTTTCGAGTCCGTTAGTTACACCGCGACGTAACTAACGTGGAGTTTTCCCGGAGGAAACAAAGAAGAGTTACTGGCGAGAGAAAGAGAGAGAGAGAGAGGGGGGAGGGAAGGAGACCCTCGTCCAGTGGATTGTCCCTTTCCCCTCTTCAACCCGCGACGGGGGTCCACACCCGCACATATACACAGGTACCGGTCACGGACACACGGACACGCTCAAAGCACGACCTAGTTATGAAATAGTTTTCCTCGCGCGTGTAAGGCGACTCAGCGATATCGCGTTTTAAAGCTGAAAGCATGTTCGTGTTGTGTGCGAACGGTGGTCGCCGTATTGTTTCGAGTTTATTATCTTCCACCCAACCTGCGGCTGCTCCGTAGGGACGCAGAGGGGTTAGATAAAATGGCGAAAGAACCGCTTGGGAAAGCAGACTGCAGAAGTAAGGGGGAGGCCGAGAAAAAGTTTCGGTCTTCTGGACTTCCGCGATAATAATAATACCGTGGCGTTCCGATACGCTAGAAACGTAATCTTTCCGTGGATGCGAGGTTTCGTGATTGGAAATGGTACAGATGATACGTGATATTTTGGCAGGAACGGAGTATCGAAATCCGCTGCAGTGTTTCGAGTTTATAATCCTTCTTTTGGATTCGGGTTTGCCCTGATAGCAGAATGATAACCCGGCGGAAACGTGCGTGGTGAGAGAAGTGGGAGGGGAAGAGAGAAAGAAAGACGCGTATAAATTTGAGTATTTCGAGTGTACATAATGAAGTAGTTAGCCATTGTACTACATCGCCGTTCTCTTCTTGCGATAGTAGTTTCAATAATCGAGAACAATGTAGAAATTCTCGTTTGAAAGAATCCCCGAGCTCGTTCGCCGCTGTAATGAAGCGATTATGACGAGCAGGAACGATACGCGCGCCGCCCTGTAATTTCGAATATATGCAGCGCGCCGTCATTTCACGAGAATAAAGGTAGTTAGACGCGGACCAACGTCCGCCTCGCTATGCTTTACTAATGAGCATAATTAAAAAAATTCCAACCCTGAAGCCCGTCAACGCGCGTACTGCGTACGTGACATACTATAGTAAAAGGAAATTCGCGCTTCTATGAAATAATGATACACTCTTCCCTGCTCATTAAGACCCGGCGTGGAAATTAATTCCGTGCTGTTTAAACCTTTTCGCGGTGAATTCAATTGGACTCAATCAGTATTATATGATACGGACGACATGGGAACGTAAGAGAGCCAATGAACGCAATCCGGTGGAAAATCCGGCCGATACGCTTTATCGATGCCAATCTCTTATCGAATTGTCCGTTAATACGAAGTAATCTTGTCGCGACTTGCAGTGTCCGAATTACTCATGGAATATCTGTCAGGCAGGAGGTTTCGGTACTTTCAGCCAAAGCATAAAGGCTGTGCCACTTCAAACGCTTGTCTCGGCTTTAATTTCCACCGTTGCGCCTGTGCA